CTGAGGGGGCCAAAGTTTCGCCCCCTATAGTCAGCGATGGAGTCAGCTGACTATGCCGAGGCGCTGGAAGCCATAGCCACTCGGTCTTGGACGGGTTGAGTCTGAGTCTGTTCCTCCCCATCCAGACCCTCACGGCCTCCAGGCATCGGGCCATCACGTCAAGGGCATCGTTGGGGTGGCCCGGGGTGGATATGTACAGTGGATATGTAAATACATACCCTTTTGCTGGTTTCCAAGTGCTATTAATTTTAAATGAAATTTCTTGACTTCATTGAAGTATGACAGCATCTTAGGGTTCTCTCATTAAAAATCTTTGCTGGATAAAGTAACATTTTATATATCATGTAAACTTTATGTGTAAAATGAAGTAGGTGTTATTTTGAAATAAATAATATTGAGATTTGTCTAACACCTTTCTAAAGAGGGAAGCAAGAAAACACTTTGACTGTCCAAATTTAGAAGGAATGGAACTGGAAAATCAAGGTGGCATAGGTACAGAGCTTAATCACTGGGAGAAACGGTTATTAGAGGTTAGTAATCAATTAATATATAGATATACATAGGGTTGTTCCAATACAAAATTTAGCCTGTGGCATCTCAACTGGTTTTGTCTTTAGCAAGTAGTAATAGAGAAACTCAAGGATGTTTAGAATGATTTTTTTATTGATCAATACAGCCAGAGTGAATACAGGTATAAATCATTAGCTAAAAACTAAAAGCCACCAGAGAATATATTGTACTCTTTTCCTACATACCTGGACTTATTTAATTCCTTTATTTTGAAGGTTATAGAGAAGAGTTCTATATTAGACTGTAAATAATACAAAATTGATTGTTTAGTATGTGAAGGAAAGATGCAGATATCTTTCTCAAGATACCACACCAGGAATGAAAGTTCATTTATATTTTATAATTTAGAAGCATTCATGGTGGCAATTACAATAAATTACAGTAAATTTAGATTCTCCATTCTTCTATTGTCTATAGTCTATTGGTCTATTTCTTATTATAAGAAAATAATCATGAATGTAATTTATAGATAGCTCCCTGACATCCCAAGAGCAACTCCTAATTTCACTGTGATTGTTAAAGTAATGAAATATGTTTCACTGTTGGCAAAAAATAGTTTGCTTCCTGCAAAATGCAGGCTATTTCTCTGTTTGCTTTACTGCGGCTAACTATTATTGATGTTGGTTAATTCCAGAATGAAGCAATGACTGGATCACAAACACAGAACAGGGTCTTCTCCCGGATTACTCTGGCATTAATGGAAGACACTGGGTAAAAAAGATACATTGTAGTTATACAATATTACTTAAACAATAGCGTAGTGCTTTCTAAATTACTTCCGAAGTGTTGCAGAGCTTTAGTAAGTAGAAGATAGCAGAAGTAGACAGTAGAAGATACTTCCTAACAGGCCATGGATTTCCCTGCACTGTTGGAAATGCATAAAAGGACATGGAAGAGAATAGCAGCAGTTGGTGGATAGATGCCGAGTCAGATAGAGTTAAACGGTGTTTAGGGTGGATTTTGTGCTGTCTGTTACAACACATTCCCAATGGTTTATAGCAGCAACCTTTCCAGCTCAGCAGACCATGCAACTTCATGCGCACACACGCTCACCCATCAATTCCCCGGCCTGTTCTGAACGGGCTGTAGCCCGGCACCCAGCCACAGACCAGGGGTTGGCGACTCCTGGTTTATAGCTCAAAAAACCAGACAAATTAATGTTTGTCATTTGTTTATTAGAGTATATATTACTGAATAAGCTTAAGCATTGGGAAAGAGGACCAGGAGTCTTTACAACCTAATAATCCCTAAGATTATTAACTCTTTGATTCTTTGTTGTTAATAGTTCAGAAAGTTGGACTCTAAAGAACCATTTCCATTTCCACTTGCTATTTTTGCAGCTGGTATCAAGCCAATTATAGTATGGCAGAAAAACTAGAATGGGGCCGAGGAAAAGGCTGCGACTTTGTGATGAAAAGCTGCAAGTTTTGGATCAATCAGCAACGGAGAAAGTAAGAATAATACATGTGCGCTGCATGTTCAGTGATGGCTCTGAAATTGTCCTCACACATTAACTATTGTGAATAATAAGTAGTGTTTATTAACACACCGAAGCATATACATATATATATAACATGTTAACTGCTGTTCTGTTTTTAATCTTAAGAAAAGAACCAGTAGCCCCATATTGTGACACTCTGAGAAGTAATCCATTACAATTAACATGCAGGCAGGACCAAAGAGCAGTAGCAGTGTGCAATTTACAGAAGTTCTCTCAACAGTTGCCTCAGGAATATCAGGTATGTTATATGACACATGAAACAAAAGCATGTCTCATTCTTCTGAATTAATAACCTTATTCAGAAGCAGTGTTAAACCAAAGGCTGTATTCCCTCAATGCGCTATGCCAGGGTTTATGTATTAGGTAATAGGTACTTTGGTTTTATCATTGCCTCATGTCCTGCAAAGGCTTAAAGCATTCCTAATGCCCTTTCATATACTTATGTATAGTTGCACTGATTCTGTCAAGTGGGGAAGGGTTAGGAGGCAAGATAGATGCTTTAAGGTTCTGCAAGACTTAAGATAACCATTTTGCCTCTTTAAACTACCTAAATCCCCCAAATAGGAAATCCTAGAGAGATACCTTGTTGCTTGAAAAAGCAGGAAGAAAAAAGATAATAGTAAGTCGTAAGATGATCATAACCTTCCTCTGTTATAAACTATATTGATTAGGTTTAAACAGTGTGAAAAGCCATGCATCCTCATTCAACATGTTTGTGTGAATCCAGGTTTAATATTATAAGGACATCCTTTGTCTTCTAATAATA